GCAATAACCAAGAAGATATTCGGCAAATGTTGAAGTGTGGCGCCGTCCCAACGCCCCACACAGAGCAGCAGCCGTCACTGGATAATGATGCTGCTGTATTGCTGTATACGTGCATCCCCTTGTGTCAGTCAATCCACTGCAGGCTGAGTGCCTCTCCACACATGTTGCTGTGAGGGTTGTTTAGGCCACCACGCTTCACGCTTGTCCGTGCGGGTTATTGAAGGCAGGGGGGGGGGGGCGTAGAAGTGGAGGACAACAATGAATGTTGCCTCAATGCCTCCCTCTCTTGCTAAACCCACCTCGTCAGCACAATGACCACCGCTTGTGCGTGATGGTGGTGGTGCTGGCGGACATCCATCCAAGCACTATCCAGACGTATGAGATCTGACGAGATCGAGCGGATTCTTCCTGGTTGCTCATAATAAGCAGGCCGGTTTAATATCGTCGAGTGCATGGGTCGGCAAGATAAATAACACGAGGAGTCAAGATTACAAGAGGTCGCAATCAGTGCGGGATGAAGCTCGTGCGGGGCCTGTAATATATGTTATAAAGGGGCCCTAAATAAAATTAAAATACACAAATATTAAAACACAATTTTTTTACTTGCATAGTAAAGTCATTGTATTTGTTCATTTACTATGCAGCCAGATAATACGACAAATCGCTAACATTGAACACCCAGTCGTTCATAAAAGTTTAAGGCGGTATAGTACTACAGTAATAGAGCAAGTGTAGAATCACTGAAGCGGAATTGATAGCTTGAAAGCATTTAGCGCGGGGCCCTTGAAAATGCGGGGCCCGTAGCTACTACATATGTAGCTACTTTTGCTCCGAGGATAATCTGGCACTGGTCGCAATGATTGTGAACACGAGACGGTGGTGGTCCTTGATCGACGACGTCACGAAGCAGTCATTCACGAGCCGCATGCGGCTCCTGAGCCGCAGGTTGCTAGCCCCTGTTCTGATGGGGGCCGGATTAAGGCGTGGGGGGCTTTAGGGGCTGTAGACCAAGGGCCTCCACCAGCTAGAGGGCCTCCAGAGATTTAAGTGAAATGTTATTTCATTTGTGAATGCTGAATTTTATTTGTTGTTAGCCTTGTAAAAACATGTCTTTAACTTTTTTTCCTTTTGAAAATATTACTGAGGGCCTCACAGTACCTGTAGCCCAGGGGCCTACGAAATATTCATCCGGCCCTGGTTCTGATGTATAATAATAAGTAGAGCGTATTATATATTGCCCATGCATTGGACTCATGTGGCACACTATGATTGCTTATCCTTGTTCTCCCCTCCCCCGGCATGCTCTCATCGTATCGTCAGCCCGACATGCCTCCCTCCCAGTAGTGCTCCCCAAACGCAAGATTTCCAATGCATTTTCCGTGAGTCAGAGGAGTCAAATTCTCCTACCGCACGTCGCATTCCTGGGCTCCCAGCGACAGCATTCACCGACCAAAGCACATTCGTGTGCCCGGAACTTTCCTGGAGTTTTCTGAAGGACGGAACGATCACTCGCGGAGTCGCGGGCGGTTTTCTAACAGATGTGTCCAATGCAAGCAAGATCGTTCCGTTTTGTTCCTGGGAAAGCGCTTGAGGCGTCGTGCCAAATGAGTTTCCACAGGGTCCTTTCCTTCACTCCGACTTCTATATGCAAAACAGCCTTATGTAATAGGAATGCAACTCACTACGGATGTATGCCAACGGCTAGAATGGCTCACTGGCTCGAGCATCTTGGCTTGGCTTATAGTGTAGTGAGGCCGTGGGTTCAAATCCCGGGCAGGGTCGGCCTCGTTAAATGGAATGAGTCCAGTCCTGGTGAATGCGAGCCAATGAGGCGATGAGCAACAGTTATTCCGTCTGAACAGACAAGTCCCTGTCGTAGGAACGTGTAAATGCAATGCATGTTAATAGCCCACAGAGATGAGCACTGCACAACTCGTGTTACGTTCAATAATGAAGCCCTTGGTCTTATTTGTTGACAATTGCCCTTGATAAATTCGCAGTTAGACTACGTTGTGTGTCGGCGTAGCAGCTTGGGATAGTTTAGCGGCTAGAGCACTCTGGTCCATGTCAAAAGCTGTGCAAACAAGCGTGAAGAGATGCACGCTTGGGAGTATAACTCGTTTTATTTAGCCGAATGCTATTTCACGCGACTTCCCACAGTCAAAACACCAGATACATTTACTATTTTTTTTAAATGTTCTTTGCGTGAACGTCAGAGATATTCTGCAGTCTCTCCCTCCTGCACTACGCTGAGAGAGACAGAACGCGTGGGATCAGATAAGGTACCAAAAAAATATTCAGAGACATCGTATATACCTTCAATGGAAGTTCGCGGGGCTTTTGGGTAGGCAGCGTCACTCGATGGCAGTGGTCGAGACGAACAACGGCATGATATCTTCTTGGTTCTATCGGTAAAGTCACGTCTGTTGAAAAGACATTCAGACGCTGTCTTTCCGACAGACCTGTTCTTCACCTGAGGATGGCTGCTTGCGTTGTGGCCGAAACGTCGTGAGAATTGTATTTTATTATGTTTTATTTTTATTATTGTATTATTTCCCTTCTACGTGACTTTACCGAAAGAACCAAGAAGATGAATCCCTGCAGTCACGAAAGCTTTAAATCGAAATTTAACGGCATGACAGCGACATGCGGGGACGCTCCCGAGAGGACGTTCGCTGCGGAGATGGAGCGAGGGAATCGGCTCGAATGCGGTACAGTGTCGCATCGCCGCGAGACTGTGAGATGATGGCTGCTGTAGGGAGGCTTCCATCCAGCAGTAAAGAGAGATCGTGGATGATGTTTGTACGTCGAACTTATTTCGCACCGCACGGAGCCAACCGCGCTAAATTGGAGGGCGGTGATGATGATGATGGTGGTAAGTTGCCGAAAAACAAACTGGAGTTAACATTTTCAATTCCTCACGTTGGAGTTCTTTTTGTGCTGATGTTTATTGGCTTTCCGTCATGTTGATGACCGAGATCACTCGCGAATGAGACTCCATCCTCGGTCTCTTGAGAGTCCCCACCTGTCTTCTTGGGTCTTTCGGTAAAGTCACGTGACTTTACCGGTAAAGTCACGTGACTTTACCGAGAGAACCAAGAAGATGAATCCCTGCAGTTACGAAAGCTTTAAATCGAAAAGTCCCCACCTGGTTCAACAAAATCAACTTCAAGCTGCGCCGGCGTTATTTATCGATGTGGTGTAGCAATTTTGTTATGAAACTTTGAATACATATTAAAAAAATGGAAACATCACAGAACGTACAAAAAAAAAACACTTATTGGTGTCGCTGGCAAGTGGCGGGATATGAATCTTGGCTGTACACATTTAAGTTGGTCATCCTCTGCAGGAACACTTTGTGTCTCAAAACAGTGCCTTGGCAACGATCCAAAAGCTCTTTTTCTTGTTTTCCATGCGTCTGATTTTGCCATCATAGCAAAATCTCAGAACCGCAAAAAAAGTTTAACTCTGCCCTTCCCCCAACCTCCTCCTCCTCCTCCATGCCTCCCTAAGCCGTACCGCTCATCCACCCCTCCCCCCCAGTTCCCACCCTGCTCTCTGTGATAGGGCTAGAGTCTGGGCATACAGGGAGCAACCAACACGTGTTTAAAGTGTAAAGGTTGAGAATGAGAACTGGCACCTTTATTCCTGCGTCCGCCACCACCGCCAACACTCAAACACACTCCCCCAGCCAACCACACACCCACCCACCCACCTAGCAATCAATCCAGCCACACACTCCCCCAGCCAACCACACACCCACCCACCCACCTAGCAATCAATCCAGCCACACACTCCCCCAGCCAACCACACACCCACCCACCCACCTAGCAATCAATCCAGCCACACACTCCCCCAGCCAACCACACACCCACCCACCCACCTAGCAATCAATCCAGCCACACACTCCCCCAGCCAACCACACACCCACCCACCCACCTAGCAATCAATCCAGCCACACACTCCCCCAGCCAACCACACACCCACCCACCCACCTAGCAATCAATCCAGCCACACACTCCCCCAGCCAACCACACACCCACCCACCCACCTAGCAATCAATCCAGCCACACACTCCCCCAGCCAACCACACACCCACCCACCCACCTAGCAATCAATCCAGCCACGCACCCAACCAACCACACATTCAGCCAACCACACACCCACCCACCCAGCAATCAATCCCGCCATCCACCCAACCAACCACACATCCAGCCAACCACACACTCCCCCAGCCAACCACACATCAACCCACCCAGCAATCAATCCCGCCATCCATCCACCCAACCAACCACACATCCAGCCAACCACACACCTACCTACCCAACCACACATCCACCCACCCAGCAATCAATCCCGCCATCCATCCACCCAACCAACCACACATCCAGGCAAACACACACCCACCTACCTACCCAACCACACATCCACCCACCCAGCAATCAATCCCGCCATCCATCCACCCAACCAACCACACATCCAGGCAAACACACATCCACCTACCTACCCAACCACATATCCACCCACCCAGCAATCAATCCCGCCATCCATCCACCCAACCAACCACACATCCAGGCAAACACACACCCACCTACCTACCCAACCACACATCCACCCACCCAGCAATCAATCCCGCCATCCACCCAACCAACCACACATCCAGCCAACCACACACCCACCTACCCAACCACACATCCACCCACCCAGCAATCAATCCCGCCATCCACCCAACCAACCACACATCCAGGCAAACACACACCCACCGACCCAACCACACATCCACCCACCCAGCAATCAATCCCGCCATCCACCCAACCAACCACACATCCAGGCAAACACACACCCACCTACCCACCCAGCAATCCGGTCACACACCCAACCATCCACACGTGCACCCAACCACAACCACCCTCACCCCTCCCACCCACGCATTCACCCAGCCAGCCAGACACGTCAGCCAGCAGCTCCCCCCTTCTCACTGACGTCAAGGTTCTGTTGTGGGCCCCGTGGCTCCTATGCCCCGGTGTCCCCCTCATCCCACACTCAGAGCTGCGACCGTTCATGTGCAGCAGCAGCAGCAGCAAGCTCAGCTCCTGCAACTCGCATCACTGCCGGTGAGATCTCATGCCTTGTTTATCACACACACAAACACATACCTACATATAAGTAGACTCATGAAGTGTATTTTGTAAGGATGAGATGTTTTTCATTTACAGATAGGGGCGCTTGAGTTTATGCTTATTTGATTTGTTACACGGATGAACCCTTGTTTAAATGCCCACGTGCCTTACAATCACGCCTCGACTCGCCCCAACGATCCCATTGCCATGCTGCGCGACACGCGTGTATGCGATGGAGCTGTCATTCATTGTCAAGGCTCGGATTGCCCAGGCAATGCGAGACGTGGTGGTGGCTCATGACCACAGGATCCATGAGTTCGCATCCGCAGACAGGCTAGACTTGCCGTTTCAATCTTCAATATCTTAGTTCTGCATCAGTTGGTGGAGGAAATGTTTGATGGAAAGGTGGAAGTTGTGTTCATTGAAAACAGCTCGGCAATACTGTACTCGCCATAGCAACGGGGAATTTCTTACACTCGCCGACAAGCTTAGGGCGAGCAACAGCAACGAGCGATCGGCTGAGTTAAGGGACACTTTGACCTGACAATGCACAAGTGTGCACACCAGAGGAGTAGCGCGTATACAATCACATACCTGTGTGTGTCTATATGTGTGGGGAGCGGTGGTGTAGTGGTTAGCGCGCTGCGCTATGAACCTGGCGACCCGGGTTCTCACGGCCAACACCAGTGACAATTATATGAACAGGTCCTGGGCCTCCCCTAGGTCGGCTCAGCATTAAATGAGTACCTGGTGCGGTGTGTAAACATCGCCACTGGGGAGACAAAGGCGGTCGGGCGTAGTGCTGGCCACCCACCCCCTCGTGTACCGTTCCGGCCTTCATAGGTGCTCGCTAACAGCACTTGCCCCTACAGTCTGTTAAGGCTATACGGGGGATCTTTGTTTGTGTGTACACGAGGTCAGTGCACCTATGCAGCACTTGCGCAACTGTCTGGCTCTCAAGGGATTGCCGTGCCGGTCTGTAAGGCTGAGCGAGGCGGCGTCTTTGTCCCCTTCGAGCTGTCGTTGCAGTATATATATATAGCGTGCCCGTGCGTGCATACGTTGTACCCTAAGACACATATATATATATAGCAGAACCCTTCAAGGATGGAATTGGAAACAGGCTTGTACAGCTGCCATTTGCGTCCACTCACACTCATAAAAGGGATCGTCCAAGAACATAACGGAATGTACCAAGGCACAAACCTCATTCACCCCGTGTTTCCTACCCGAGAAAGCTGCTGCGCTGTCATGGATAGAACATTGGACTTGCAATCACCAGAGAACAATCAATTTTACGACACAGAAAGTTCGCACAATGGTCCCCAACGGTCGGTAGGCGGACTGCGAGTGGTGGGGTCAATTGTGGGTGCTGCACCGTTTCCAGAGCGTTTGGCCGGTGTGGAAGAGTAAACCTCGTGAAGGCTGTCCGCCAGCGGTGGTGTAAGCGGGACATTGCAGGGCTGCGCCTTTAACGTGTCATCTTGCCCGTCGGTCTGAACGTATGGAGAGCGAGCAACTTGCCATAATTCGCCGTTCCGTCTTATTACTCATATGTCAGAGAACTGGCAGTGTATAGGCCTGCGGAATGTGGGTTTTAAACCTTTAAATTTTCTGATTTCTTACAACATCCAGTTGCAACAACCCATTGCGTTAGTGAACGGGTTATCACAGAAGCGGATATCACAGAGTTCTCTAATCTCTTGAGATAGCACACCAATACCGGACTCTCTGGCAGTTTTTGTTTAAATTAATGAATTGGCAAGATAGGTTTTGACAATACGACCAGCTTTGTGCTTTTTTTAATTAGCATTCATGTTTATGCAGTAGGTTCAAAAGCTAAGAGCACTAAGCTCGTGCACAGGTACGAGATAGATTGTTCCGTCATGCATGATGAAGGCGATGACGGTGACCCCGTAGAAATTTAAATTTGCAGTCTTTGAACTTTTAAAGTGGTCCCCTCTATGCTCAGACTGGCAGACCAGGTTGTTGTTGTTGTTGTACAACTACGAATGTCAAGCTGAGTCATGACAACGACAAACTAAGATGCAGACAGACGGTGGCTTAAACCCAGACTGACAAGTTGTAAATGAAATGCACAAGAGGCCTGTCAATCATTTAACAACGAAACGGCGTCTGCGTAATGCCGCGAGTTCAACACGCCTTGTCGTCAAAGAACAACTACTTTCGAACCCGCATGAAGCACGTCGTGTTGTCCTCGGAATGTACTGATCCCTGCCATAGGAATGTGGAATTTCCAAAATTGGCTCGGGATGGATAATGGAGGCGAGCTAGGTGCAAAAAAAAACCCCACCTGAGTATGGGTCCATGGGTTGACTTTTTGAACGCTGGTGCATAGTGCCGGAGCACTGTGCACACACAAATCACTCCTTTATTTCTCTCGAGTACACGGAGAGCTCAGGGCCGCGCTCCGCATCGCGTCTGGCTCGCTAGTTCGCTACTTCGCACGGCAGCGGATGCTAGACTCATGGCGCCACCGGTGGCGAAATGTTAACTACCTCGCCTGGTATACAGGAGGTCGTGGGATTAATCCCGACCCTGACGCCTGCTGCATATTTGGAGTTTGCGTGTCTCTCCTCCCCCGTGGTCACGTGGATATTTCTCCGGGTCCTTCGGTATTTCCCTCCACATTTAGAATCAACGTGCGTTTAGAGTATTTGGCTGCTATATCATTTCTAAATGATAAGCTATAATTTGTGGCCAGGTCGCTTCTGAAAAGGATCTGTATAGCTCAGTGGGTCTTACCTGGTAAAATAGACATATTTCAGTTTAGTTTTAGTAACTTCGAAACGGAATCACCAAAGTTAGACGTTGCAGGGTGTATATTCAGGACCCCGCGGCCTCATCTTTCACGAGCAGTCGTGCTCAATTTCTCACCACAGTACATATTTTTCCGGGTGGCTGATCGTCTGGAGTAGGCCCGTGACTTGTAGTCAAAGTCATGGCGAGGAGTATACTGGATGTGGTGTGCTGGCTGCGGAATTAATTCGGGGTCACTGGCCATGATGGATCGCAGTTGAAGTCGAGCCCTTGTTCACAGGAGTACACAATGATTTGCTGTGCCAATATTGAATCCAGAATATAACACCAATTCCCAACTGAGTTATGAATTTATTTATACAACTATGTATCGCTCTCTGGCTTTCCGTGCCTATCTCACAACGGAGAGCATATCGATACTCTGCATTGAAATACAAGTGAGTTGTTGGCATGATGATACATGGTTGGAGAATATCAAAAGACAAACTGGGTGAGAGGGTGTGAGTAGTAGGTTTGTAATGAAACCAAGAGCCTACATCTGGGTGTAAATAATTTGGTTATGATTGTGTGTGTGTGTACAGTAACATTTTCTGAACTTCGCGAAGAGGTTAAACCTAATGCACTAAATTCCACGTTTCTCATCGTGAAAATCCAAGTTGAATAAAATTGCATGCCAAAGCTGTCTCCGTTCCAGCGGGGCTGGCTAACCAGGTCCAGGTTTTACGTTGCGTCGATGCATGCTGGTGCACGTTAGGTGCAAACCCCATTTACGGCTTAAACTAATGTCTAGAATACACGGGATTCCGATGAGTGAGCTGCATTCACGCCACAGCCTTGCGTGAACACGCGGGTGAGTTGTGGCTATTCAGCCCAAACTCTGGGCCGTATCGTAAACCACTGCAGCCTGCGCTCATTCAATGAAGGAGGAATAGAAATACGACACGAAATCTCTCAAAGCACTCTCGCGCCTAGCAGACCTCGGCATTGGAATTGATCTCCTGAATATATTGCCATGGTGAGTGGCGGTGTAAATATTCGACCCTTTATCCCAGAGTTACTGGGATAATTCCAGGCTTCTTGGCGGATGAATTTATATCACTCACCACTGGGCATTGACACAAAGGTCGCCCGCTGAGTATGTACAAATTCTACCGTGTTCAAACGTGGTGGTCACTAAACCTTTGATGTGGGTCCGTGCCAAAAATATAACCACACAATTACGTAGCCAGTTTTTCAGCGGCTTTTAGCACGACACGCACACTCGTACGCCAGCCTTTAATGAAAAATAGCAGCGGTGCCGTTTCAATTTTGCGACTGTGTTCAAGAAACTTCAACGCGGAGGTGCGGTTAAAAAAATAAATCCTTGTCACGAACGGGCCGCGAAATTCTCGTCACAAACAGCAGCGCCGTTATAAACGTTTGCATTCACTATTGTCCAGCACTGTTCAGGGCATTCCACACTAATTTATGCACGAACCGCTGGAATGTCTTTTGCGGGAATGTTTAACTTTGAACAACCTAGCCCATTATTTCAAAGGCCCCCCATTCTTAAAAGCCTCATTAATTTGTTGCATTTATAGACGTTCAAACCTGGTAGACGACTCACTTTACGTTGTGCCAAATATCACCATCGGTGCACCGTGTAGACTTGCTGACGTTAGACCAGCTCGCTCGCGAAGAGCTTGTGGGACGCGTGCGTGCCACGTGTGTAGGGATATCGTGCTCGGGCGATAGACGCGCATCCGTGCCAGTTTTCTTTCCCGTTTGACCGCCGCCACTGCCATATGGACGGCAGTCCATGCTTTTTCCACGTGTCAGGTGTAAGTGCCTTCAGAATATATTAACTGCGCCGAATGTAAGTTCACTCATTCTTTTCGATTTAAAGCTTTCGTGACTGCAGGGATTCATCTTCTTGGTTCTTTAGGTAAAGTCACGTAGAAGGGAAATAATACAATAATAGAAATAAAACATAATAAAATAATTCTCACGACGTTTCGGCCACAACGCAAGCAGCCGTCCTCAGGTGAAGACCAGGTCTGTCGGGGAGACAGCGTTGTAGCCGAAACGTCGTGAGAATTATTTTATTATGTTTTATTTTTATTATTTTATTACTTCCCTTCTACGTGACTTTACCGAAAGAACCAAGAAGAGGGTTCAGCCATTCTGTGTACACGACGCCACGATATGCTCAGTTTGCAGTGGGCCACTGGCAATTTGCGTGAACTCACGCATTCGTAATAATTCAGAATCGCTTGGAACGAGCCTCTTTCCCGAGCACCGTTGACAACCCGCACGCACCGACCTGCCGAGGTGAAGTATGGTCAAACAACACCCACATGGCGTTGGCAGGCCTTTCACTCATTGGTGGATTAAGAATGTCTGGGAATTTGTTTCTTTAATTTATTTACAATTTTAATGAGAATAAATGTACAAGCCCTTTGTCGACGCACCACCACGTGGTTAGACCTGTGATCGGATGGGTTTTTTTAATTCAGTCAAATCTTCTGGCTGATCGAAACGTCGTGATTTCTTTTATTTTATTTTATTTCTACCTACGTGACTTTACCGAAAGAACCAAAGAGTATGGATTCCTGCAGTCACGAAAGCTTCAAATCAAGATTTCAGTCAAATCTCACAAGCAAATCCTTCAGCGCAACTTGTCAGCGTCATGCCATTCGTTATCCCACTGTCCAGAAGACACACGCGTGTGTATTCATATTCTTAGTTTTTTTCGGTAAAGTCACGTAGGAAAAAAATAAAATTAATAAAAGTTAAATAAAAATAAAATAAAAATCACGACGTTTCGGAGGCAACACAAGCTTCCGTCTTCAGGTGGAACCGTCACAGCACGATAGCTGTATCAAGTGAGAGAAATTCCAAGAAAACAGTCCTTGTATATATACTGGTTGAGGGTGGGAGGAGCCAAGGTAGGCCCTGGATATTATTTTTGTGAGGTTCGGTGCGGCTGAAGCACGCTGTTCGGAATGAGCCTTTGTTGTGTAAACTAGGTGCGGATGATGTACACACGCGTGTGTGTTTTGCATGCGTCCTCCACACAGCCACACGCATCGATTGTCGATGAGAACTGTGCAAAAGTAGGACGACAGTGGTCCTCAACACCAGCTCTCTCTCTCTCTCGCCAGTGTTCTTGCCGTTCATTATTCCACGTCCGAAAAAAACACACAACAGTCGCATTCACGAAGCGTGGCGTTGTTACGTAACGCACATCGTTATACCTGGCCAGCGTGTGAACGGGGAACATTTGGCGTGGTTGAAAGCTGGACTGTAGATGAGCTGCGATCAGTGGCGTGGTCGCCACTGAGTACGCCAGGCCGTGCTGCAGCATCGAGACCCGTGGGCCACAAGGAAGACGAGTGGGGGACGGGCATTTGAAAGGCGGCTGCATTGAATTACGTTGCATCTGGACCTGTGCCAATCACAGCACGCTACTGGTTGCGAGCACTGCAGTTGATAACCACCGGGCGGTGGGAATCACGGCACAACGTCTGCCCCATTGAAAGCATTTCCCAAACGCCGCGCTGAAGTAGCCGGCGAATATCTATGGAGGAATTGTCCACACTTTCCACGTGTGACCCTTTTTGAGCAAATAGAACCATCGTAAACAGAACCATGGTCATCAGCCATGACATCTACTCATAGCTGTCAACCCCTTATCAGTGCCTACCTTATTACAGACCAATTGAGACCTTATTGGTCGCCCCATGCCCTTATCAATCTTAACGTTTATCCTACAAGGTCCCATCACAAGAGAGAAACACAAACAAATAAGCAAAAATGATGCCACTAAACAATTCTATTTTTGCCCATATTGAAACGGCTGTACGCCGTATGGACCTGAAAACTCAATTTCCCTGTACAGGAATACGGGTAAACCGCATGGGTTGACAGGTATGTCCACTACTGGATGAAGGCCTCCCCAAGCCATCGCCGCCTCTCACGATTGCGCCCTGTGACAAGCCACGTAGCACGTGCACACAAGCCGCTGTCGTCGCCCCATCTCCCTTGGCGAACATCCTCTCCTCCGTCTGAGCCTTCTGTCGTCGTTCGCCTCGGTCAGCATACAATCATCCCGTCTGGCGATGCGTCCGGCCCAAGGCCCGCTCGTTTCCACCTTCAGGGTCAATACGGCGCGCGCCTAACTTGCGTGCGCATGGCTCTCCGCGTGCAGGGACCGTGCACCGTCTCCTCCAGCGATGAAACCCCACGCGTCCCGAGCGTGCGCGCCCAAAGTCGCGACGCCGCCGCTGCTGCTGCTGCTGTTGCTGCTGCTTGGAGTCACCGGTTGCTGGGGCCAGGGAGAGGTGGACAACAGCGAGGGCGACGGGAGCACGCCGGGGGGTGACGCGGCCGAGCCCGCCGTGAAGGTCCGGCTCGCCGGACCGACCCGGCGCTTCTTCGAGGGGCGCGTTGAGGTCTACTTCAACGGCGAGTGGGGCACGGTGTGCGACGACGACTTCAACCTGCAGTCGGCCAACGTGGTGTGCCGCGAGATGGGCTTCACCGGGGCCAACACGTGGGCCCACAGCGCCAAGTTCGGCCAGGGCTCAGGTGAGGCGAGACCCCGTCACGTCCGCAGTCGTTGATGGAATTCGGGCGGGTTAAGGCCGCGTTTGTCGCCGAGGATTGTTGTGCTCTGCCTTGGGCCTGTGCCAATCACACCACGCGACTGGTTGCGAGCACTGGAGTTGTTAACCGCCAGCGGTGGGAATCACAGCACAACCTCTGCCCCCTGTAACAAGAACACACACACACAAGCATCTCCAGGGCCATCGTGATGCTCATATTTCTCCCACCCAGAGCTTAATTTCAGCCGAGTCTGTTTGGATCAGCAACTCAGAAAATATGTATCGACCCAGCACACCACATCTAGTATGGCTGTGGATATTAGCCACGTGCCACCTCCGGGTCTTCCAGAGACCCCGAAAATTATCCTGTGAGAAATTCGGCCTCGCTCCCATCCTTGTGCAGCGGCTCGTGGTGGACTCATATTTAGATACTTTACAAGTCAAAATGTTACTCTTTTGTAAGCAAGCCCAACCATTGAAGCGGATGAGGTTCACACACTCTGCTCTGATCCTGGAAACCTGCATTTTATTCCGGGTCACGGCTAACATCAGTGGCGAGTGATATCTGAGCCAGTCCTGGGGTCCCTCCTTCACCAACCCACACTGACCAGCCCCCTTCTATAGGTTTTCCACTTCTGGGACATCTTCACAGTTTTTTATATTATGTTTAATTTGTTTTACGATTGTATCACGATCGTACGTGTACAGCCCTTTTGTTGCCGCTGGATGAGGGCCTCCCCACGCATCTAGAGCTGTGGGGGGTTGTTCGACCACACCTCGTCATATTGGTCACCGTGGGTTGGTGAAGGTGGGGAACATTGACGTGGGAGCATGGAATGATGGGACAACAATGCAATGCTGCACTACCCTCTCTTGAATTTCGATTTAAAGCTTTCGTGACTGCAGGGATTCAAATTCTTGGTTCTTTCGGTAAAGTCACGTAGAAGGGGTTCTTTCTATGTGACTTTACCGAAATAACCAAGAATATATTACCCTCTCTTGCTCACCACGTCCCCCCCCCCACTCTGAGCTTATAACAAACTCTCATGGATGCAGAGTCACCCATTCAAGCAATGTCCAGTCTCAACCCTGCTTAGTTTCCGGGATCCGATGAGATCGGGCGCATGCCGAGCCAATTAGTTCACAAGCGCAAATATAGTGACAGGGCGAATAACTTAGATGACTAAGAACCGTACGTATTACATTTCCTGTTGGGAGATAGATTACGTGGGGGCTCATACAAGGGCACCGAGATGTTTGACAGCCCTCCACGACATCCACTGCCTGGGAAGTGTAACACTGGAGAATGTTGCGTGAAAAATGTTTAACAATTTATTTTATATATATAAGCAGGGCGCTTAAATTTTTTTAAACATTTCTTAGTATTTACATTTTACAACAATACCAGGAGAAATGTGCCTCTGGGCACTGGAGACCATCTGGAGAAGATTCCAGGCACGTGTTGACAATGATGACGAACAAATAGAGACTCTTTCACTTTTTGAAGCTATTAACATACATTTGTTATCGTGTCACATTGTATTATCCGTTATTTTTCCATTAAAAACGATAGTCCCATATAAGTGTTAACATTTGTTGAAGCACCCTGTATAAGCACCGAAACACTCATCCGACTGATCCCGAAACTGTGCACAATCGTAACAAATAAGTTAACAATACATAATAAGCCGAGTCTGTTAACTCAACAACAACGAAAATAAGCGATCTCGCAACATTTGTTAAATGTGGCCTGACTGTTTCAATGAGAGACTACAGTGGTCTGGAGTAGTCCTGCTCAAACAAATGCTGCTGAAAAGCATTGTGGTTCACAAGGCCCATCGACGCATGGGATAACAAATATACCGGGCATATATATATATTTCTAGTTTTTGTGTGGAGAGACACTGCTTCAGTCTTTCTTTTATCACGCGCAATTCAACACTTGGGCGCACAATGCGTGAGTGTGCGCAGTGAGAGATCCGCCCGAGGAGCACAGTGTAATCTGATTGAAGCGTTCAAAGAACAGAGCTCGCTCGCAAGCACGGCTCTTCACCAAAACGAATCAAGGTCACCCCCCCGACCGACCGACCCCCTTTTGATTTGGCTGGATCATCGCCACCCAGACCGCCGATCGCTGCTCGGTTACTCGTGTTATGGCTTTTTTTTTAAGAAACCTCAACTCCTTTCGTATTGGTCGGGAGTTGATCAGCACCGTATATATGGTCAGTTTTTCACTTTCATTTATTTGGTGTAGCCCTGTGAGCCATTCGGCTCTTGAATTGGGTGCAACCGCAACAAACAAAAACATGAACAAGAAAACATCTTAAAGCGACTATGTGACTATGTGCAAACAGAAAATCCAAGAAAAGACAGCAAAATATTGCGGTCATGCCGAGGTTGGTGAGTGAGCCAGTGGATGGCTGCAGGAGTCACCTGATGAACATCTGACAATGCGGTGCCAGCGAATGATGGCAGCAGGCCGTGGTGTAGAACACTGATCTGGGGTCTCAGTGCACACGAGTGTTACGCAAGAAATATTCCTGTGGCATCCACTTGCTATTTTAGTCCTTGCTGTCAACTCTCAGAACGCATTCCAGACATCGAAAGTAATTGAGGATGTAACGCATCAATTTGTGTAATGATGATTGATTATAATGAAACCTCTTGCTGACTCGCTCTCATTGATACACCAGCTAACGCTAACGATACACCAGCTAACGCTAACGATACACCAGCTAACGCTAATGATACACCAGCTAACGTTAACGCTGGTGTATCACTGTCCGATTAAGCGCAATGCGATCATGAGGTCAGTTATTCATACACTTCACCCCACTCGTAACGACGACCCTTGCCTGTGACATCTCGCGATCGAGAGGGCATTTCTTGCACGGGCCTGACTGCTAAATGAGACCCGGCGAGTCAAAAGCGATCCAGTCTGCCCGTTTAAACAAATGTTGATGGAAAGCATGAGTTCAGATGGCCCAGAGGCTGATGGAGATCGTATTAAGGTGGGCAGGTGTTATTCGGTAACCGGGTGGTGGAGTTAGTGGAGTTATTATCGAGGTGACAGCTAGCTGCATGGCAGCAAAGTGCTTGTATTCAGGCAGTACAGCAAATAGGTTTCTGAGTTTGAGTGTGTGTGTGGGTTTTTATTTTCTTCCGGGAAATCGAGTTGACTCCCACACACAAAACGGCCTACGTTGCCTGAACGTCCCAAGTTCTGTAGCAACTCCTTGAGCATGAGTCAGCCGCAGGATTACATGAGGCCTTATGGGTTAGACGACAAATTACTGTTGCTGCTGCTGTTGTTGTTTTTTGCCATTCATAAACGAGTATGAAAAGATGCGTTGAGTAAAAGAGCCCCAGAGGAAGATGGGGGGAGGGGGGAAGTCCACTGTGACTCGGAGTGAAAGTACAAACACGGCCTTGCTTCCTGACCTGGATCAGGACAGAAGAGAGTTGGTGAACACCGCACCCTGTGCACTGCAAATATAGAACAACAGGGTGTGCATTTCATGGTCCGCGTATCCAGGTGGAGGGCCCTCCCAGTCTCCCGAAGGTCCCTCCTCTCTGGGTGGAATCGTTTCAAAGCCAGAATCTGAAATAGAACTCACAAGCCGCTACTTGAAAGGCTCAATCTTGATTTGAAGCTTTCGTGACTGCAGGAATCCATACTCTTTGGTTCTTTCGGTAAAGTCACGTAGGTAGAAAATAAAATAAATCACGACGTTTCGGGCGCAACACAAGCGTCCGTTGTCAGGTGGGAAAAGCGTGGTCTGCTGCTGAGGCAGACTATTTTAAAAGGTTTGAAATGGGTGTAGCTCCAGGATTATAAGGAAGTGGCCGGGGCTAGTGATGTTAATGAGAGAAAATAGCATGGAAGTGGCTCTGTTAATGTGAGGGATTAGCATTGAAAAAACAAAATTTAAAAACCTACTCGGGGCTGTTGTATCATTTACAAGGGTTATGCTGTCATCGTCGAAATCCCACATGTTTAAAATCACTTTTCGATGATGTCGGTTGTAACAACCAGCGAAACGTCGTACTCGAATTAAAAATGTTGTGGGTTTACTCTCCAACACAGCGGTGTGCTGAACTAGCAACTAATTGGCATGTTTTGTTTACTTGAAAAACCTTACTAATTGCTTGTGCCAGATGGTGGTGGGTTGAATGGAACATTTATATTCACGCTTCGCGCAGATGTATTAAGTTTACGACTGTACTGCTCTATTGCAGCTACTGATTTCAAGTCGCGTAACGAATCGCATGGATGAGTAAGCAATTATCGTGTTCATTAAAGAATTCACATTTATTAAAACCTTTTTTGCTTATCAAACTACATTTATAGCTTTTGATTTAAAGCGTTCGTGACTGCAGGGATTCATATTCTTGGTTCTTTCGGTAAATTCACGTAGAAGGGAAATAATAAAATATGTTTTATATTTTTGTTCTTTAATCATTTCCCTTCTACGTGACTTTACCGAAAGAACCAAGAATATACATTTATGCCGTTTATAAAGTAATAAGATTAGTACTATAACAACAAAATACGAGAATTTCATGAAACTAAAGTTCAAGTATAAATGAACAGATCTGAGAAGTCTTTAAAAAAACACACCAACCCCCAACCCCCGCTACTCCCAGGGTAAGACTAGAAATGTAAACACAGCACGAATTAAAGCAAGTCCCACTTGCGGGCCGAATCACAACGCATGGACTCAACGCGAGACTTTCTCGGCAAACCAAAATACCACGTGTATATTTACAACAATTTGTTTTGTGACTTGTCCGTGTAATTGCCACAAGAAAAGCAGTAATAACGCATGCCAGCGGCCACAGCAGCGTCGCCTGAGGTCCATTTCTGTGAGGAATACAGATCGACACTGAAGGTCACTCGCGCCCTGCATTTAAACGGTCTGATGCTTCAGGGCTGATCGAGCCCCTCAGATAGAGTAATGCGCTACTTCGAAGGAAGTTCCTTTATCTGATCTGGATACGGCTGCAGTCAGTTTGGCAAGCGTTCTTGTACTTGTCCCATTGTGCAATGGCAGTTGGCGGTAGCGTGCGCACGCAATGCGCCGTGTACCCTAATACCCGTCGCCACAGGCTGAAGTGTTACGAGAAGATATATCGACTCACGCTCTCTGCTTCTGCTTTTGCAACAGCGTCTGAGATTTGCCGCACGATCGCGGCAAAGAGAGAGAAATCCCAGGCATCGCAATCGTCACCCTGTCGGTCGGCTGTCGGTTCTCCGACACATTTTGAGCTGGATCATTTGCTACAAGGATTGCCCGCCCCCCCCCCCCCTCTGCCCCCGCCTGTTTCCAGGACCAATTCTGTTGGACAACATTTACTGCAATGGAGAAGAGCGATCACTCATCCAGTGTCAGTCCAATGGCTGGGGAGTCCACGACTGCAAGCACTCGGAGGACGTGAGCGTCATTTGTCTGGAGAAGAGGCTGCCGGGATTCGAGGGACACGAAGACATCAGCAACATCATCGAGGTGCCGGTCGCAGAGCAGTGCCCCCCCCCCCCCCAAACCTCCTCGCGGCTACTTGTGCCTTACCCCCTTAAATTTCGATTTAAAGCTTTCGTGACTGCAGGGATTCATCTTCTTGGTTCTTTCGGTAAAGTCACGTAGAATGGAAATAATAAAAATAAATAAAACATAATAAAATTATTCTCACGACGTTTCGGCCACAACGCAAGCAGCCATCCTCAGGTGAAGAACAGGTCTGTCTTCTCGAAAGACCTGTTCTTCTCGACAGACCTGTTCTTCACCTGAGGACGGCTGCTTGCGTTGTGGCCGAAACGTCGTGAGAATTATTTTATTATGTTTATTATTTTTATTATTTTATTATTTCCAACCTTATCCCCTTGTTGAAGTTTGTTTCAATCGAGTACCGCCCCTCCCCCCGCCCACCCGCCCGTCCCTGCTTACCTGACCCAACATGGTTCTGAGAATTAAATCTGTGAATTAATGAACATCAATATTTTAACTCAATTGTTCGTTTTGTGAGGTATCCCTAACTAGCTCGTAACTGCAAGCGAATAAAAAGTAATACTAAAAGGACGCTCTGCATGCATCACGTAATTTATAATAATAGGCCTTACCCTCTCTGGCAATAAAACAGTTGTGTTCAGATGTTAAAACACCACACTGACACCTTTTGCAAGGAAGCATGTCTGCATTGACCACACACAGTACCTGTGGTGAACATGCAAACAAAAACAAAAACACGCTCCCTACGTGATCTATTCCTCACGTATGAAATCATTTCACACGTTTAAAAATCACCGCGCGTACCTCCGGTTCAGAGCCGCTGGACTGTAGAGGAACGGTGGCACATTCAGTTGCAGGCAAACCTGGCCAAAGAGGTGGCTGGGTGAGTGAGATGAGCCCGGACCGGGTTCACAAATCGAGGTTTCAGCGCCACCCTTGATAATGATATACCGGTGTTCTCAAGTACAGCCAGTTGGTGGTCCCTGCTTGGTCACAATGACTACAGGAAAGCCATCATATTCGATTTTTGTTACTTAATTTAACAAAATTTAGGACTCACAGCAAATAATGTTGACTTCGGTTTGACTGCCACACGATAAACATTTTATACCAGGGCAAAGGAGAATGAACATTGTCCCTGAGAAGGTACTTAAATAGAGCTCAGAAGCAGTTCTATGATCTCAACTTCCGTAAGCAAGGTGATGCACTGCGCACTGCATTGGTCCAAAATTGGCAACCTCTTTATCTCATGATATGGCACCGACAGCCCCGTTGCAATTACAATCGAAATAGACATACAAAAAAGAGAGAAAACTCGTCCATTACGAGGCTCGTACTATGATCACATTTCCCGCGCGCCCGCCCAGTGCGATGAGAGTGCCCGTCCCACCGTATGCCATGAAAGTGTTTGCCTGTGCAGTCCTTCATTGGATAGAACACGAGCAGTGATCTGTTACTCTTTGTTTCCGTATACTGTGCTTACAGATGTGACCTCGCCTGTGAATTTTCATCGACAGACACGATCACGTAGATGGTCTTGCTGATTTTAAACGAATGCATTTTCTTACATCTCGGGAAACTATAAACTATTAAACTAAATTATTTTTTCTTTTACCAGGTAAGGCCCACTGAGCTATTTCACTCTTTGTCATAAACGACCAGGCTACAAATGATAGCTCAACGAAGTGGCTTATCACGTGTAACTGTATTTGTAAGATGAAAAGTACCAGCACGCGTGCTAGCGCGGCAGCGAGTAGGTAGCCATCAGCGGTGGACCCAGCAAAACGCAACAGGCACAACGGAGATGCCCTGTGCCGAGTGTGGCAGCTGCTAATGATGGCCTGTGCTCAACTGCCACAATGGGGAGGTGGCAGGCGAAGGGGTGAAAGGATGTTCCCCAACGACCGTTTGCTTTCTCAGAAGCCGAGGTAACGCAGAGCCCCTCTGCTTTTCAATGACAAGCTTGGGCCCCCGTAGCCTTTTTTCCCTTTCCATCGCATGGAAATGATGGGAGCTTTTTCTTTATTTGGATGACCTGCCTTAACCCCTCCGTGTCTTTTGTCCTTTGTTGTGCAAAGGCACCTGGGGTAGCCCTGAGAGCAAAGCAGCAGCATTCTTCAAATATCCTCACCAAACGTGCGCGTAGACGCGAAAACACTGCAGGCTTCGGCTCAGAAATCTGGTGTTGGCCTCGAATTGTGACCTGTGCCTAAAAATCCAATTATTGGACTCTAATTGGAATGACCTCATGGAAAAAAAACGTAGGCTGCTGGCGTCTTTTGAGAGAGAGAAAAAAAGTTGTCCCTAGCTGGTTTTAAATCACATCCCTCCAATTTCAGAATCAGAATCAGAAACGGTTTTAATCGCCATGTAAGTTTGCACAAACAAGGAATTCACTATGGCGGGACGGTGCATACATTGAACAAGTAGGAATCTTAACTTATATAAAAGGTATACACTCTAACTATACTAACGTTACAAAGTATAAGTAATACCAAAGGGCTAAAATCTTTAAAATTATGAATAAGTAGACCTTATAAAATGCGAATGTAAAATGTTAATTAGCTGTATTAAACAATCTTAAAATACAAAAATACAAATAAGATTACACGTTGTAAGTATGGAAAGGTGTAATTATGTAGATAAAATGTTATAGTAAGTGTAACAGTCATTTTAAGTGTAAAAGTCATTTTTGTAAGAGTATAGAAGATCAGACACCGAGCCAGAATTTGTTCCCTGTTTTTGCTGACCATTACAAAGTTGGCGATTAACTAATTATTTTGTTTAAAAAACTAAATGTAAAGATGTAGGTACAGCCCTGAAATTGCTTACTCACCACTGCTGATGGAAGGGCCTCCACTCGAGGGAGCTCTTGAGAGCCCCTCTGGAGGGTATTTGACCCCCTTGCCCATGCTGGTAAGGACATCTGTGAAAATGGGCTTCATAGCTATGAAAAAATAAAAATAGGTTTTACCCTTTCTGGCAATAAATCAGGTGTTAAGATGTTCAAACAGCAAATAGATATACTCTTTGGTTCTTTCGGTAAAGTCACGTAGGTAGAAATAAAATAAAATAAATCACGACGTTTCGATCGCAACACAATCAATCTTCATCGGGTGGAACAACCACAGCAAGAAATGCTGAAGTTGGCGAGAGCAATAGATATATATTTCGCAATGAATCAAGTCTGCATTAACCACACGTACTTGTGGTGAACATGCAAACAAACATACTCTGATAATATACGCATTGTATTTGAAACTGATTGTCCTACACCAGAGAGAGCAAGGGTAAAACCTATTCTTTTATTCTTTGGTTCTTTCCGTAAAGTCACGTAGTATTTTTCTCTCTACGTGACTTTACCCAAAGAACCAAAGAATATGAATTCCTGCAGTCAAGAATTTTTAAGTCAAAATTTAAGAGTAAAACCTATTCTTATTATTTCATACTTTGATACTGGCAAAAAAGCGTCCCATGATATAGCTTCATAGCTTATCGGATTCCTCCTCCGGTCTAAATAAAGATCTTTGAAGAGGTGGGAGTGCCCACAATTTACCCGACACCACAGCCACAACAGAGGCACAGCAGCAATTATTTCGGCCTCGCCCGAAGCCGTCGCGTGGCTTTCAAACTTGGGCGTGGATCTTCGCGTCGCTATCCACGAAGCCATAACGCGAGCAAAATCCCAGACCTGCCGATCGACGACCTGTGCTGTAGCCAATGTGCCCTGCTGGGTGGACATTGCATAGCTCCAGCAACCGGAGGCTATTGCACTTTTAAAACTAAATAGAAATCTCATTTCTTTAGAAATACTTTTTTTGTTTGGTTACTTGTCCTTTCCCCAGCACCTCCGATTAGCACGGTTGGTTACTTATGGTGTGAATTAAGTTCAACATATCGTGCATACATACATACAGAATAAACTTTAATCGTTCTTTCTACTGCCACGCTGGGAGTTGGGATGGAACCGGTGACCTCTGTGACTGCACGCCGAGTGCTCACTGACCATCGCACCGCAGCGGCAGCATCCCCAATTATTGTGTAAAGTATTACATTCTAAGACTGTATTTTTGTTGTTGTCGTCGATACTTGCCGAGTGGCAGTTGTAATAGTGGCAAGACTTAGGGTTGTTCTTTTGTTTGTACTCTTCACGTGAACATTTCGTATAAACGCTGCTTTCTCGTGCACCCTGCCCCTTAGTTCTACTGTACACTGCGTCTTTGTGCCAAGCAGGGCTGGTGGTGGTGCTGTATCGACCGCCCAGGATCCGGGTTAATTCATTTGGTTTTGTCGTCCGTTCTAAAGTTCACACGGTGCGTCAATTACGGGTCACCGTAGTCTTTGCAAAACAAAGCAATGCCGCTGCAATGTCGGGACATTCTGCTCCAATTAGCAAACAGGAGTCGAGTGAGGATTTTTAAATGCGGCGCAGACCCAGACGTGTAAACCTACGTGTTTTCATGCTTGCATGGATCATACGTCTGTAAAATCCGTATATTGGTACACATAGTGTACTTTAGTGTCCGTCACATAGTGCACCTACAACACAATTTGGATTCATACAACATTTCAATGAGACCGCATAGCAAACTGTGCGGATATTCATTTCATACAGCGGGGGCGGTCAGTCCAAGGCAGCGGGAAAAGGAAGATCTTGAGTCTGGCAGGGAGTTGATATCACCAGCGGCTGGGAGAAGCGAGATTCAAACCAATGGGGCCAGCAAAGGAGAATGAGCGACATCCCACTGACCAAAGGCTGACTGGGGGCTTCAACAGAAAAGCCTGGGTTGCTTGTAGCGGAGAAAGTGCGTGGAGGCGAGTGGAGTGAGACCAGAGGGGGGAGGGTTTTATGTGAGCGTTCAGATATTCAGAACCTATTGGGGAAGCAGCATTCCGCAGTTTTGGTTCATTGCAGTGTGCAGCTGTGGCCAGGCCACTGAATTCAACAAGGCCAACCCTTAGCACCAGAGACAACAATAACAAAAATAATAATTTACAGC